ATGAGGCGTAGTATAGCTCCTTGAGGTTTCTGTTATCTCATCACGGAAAAAGGAACATTTTCCCAACAACCCAAAAACATGTTATATTTTTAGTGCCTTTAAATAACAGAACCATTGGATTTGATAAGTAGATCTCCAAGTGAAGGGTGGATTTAAACAAATTCATACAAAAATTCCCATTCTTAGAAATATATTTGTGGTAAATGTGAAGGACGATGATGATAATGAAAATCCCGACAAACACTATTTGACGTCTTTTAACACAATAGCTTGTAATGAGCTCTTGCATGACAGGTGGCGGTTGAGTAACAAACTTTTCTTAAGGTGATGCTGTTCTTTTGCAAGCTTTGATGCAATAAGCACTGGTATAGGGGACCTTGATCAACAATTTTGCGTTATCATTAAGTTTAAGAATTTATTTTTCATCTAGAGTCTGTATGTATGTGTGAGTTTCAAAATATTTCGAGGGATAGGGAATTAGTCATCTTATTAAAAGTTTGCCTAAAAACCCTCCGGTTTCTTATTTCCCACAACTTTAGTGTTGTGCAACTATGGACTATATATACAGATTTTAAGCTCATTACCTGTAGTGTTTATTCTAACTTAGAATATTTCCTGTAAATGACTTCATATCTATATATACAGCACTACTAGCCAAACCGAATTTCATTACTACAATTTATGGAATTGATTTGCATTTATTGCAGAACGACCTCTGTCTCTTCTTATAAACAGTAGCAATAGTTTTCTGTGGCCAGTGGGATGGAATTATATTCCGGTTTCAGAATGTACCTAATATTTCGTCTACTCATGGTGCTGATCCAGGAACACAACTCATAATGACCTGGAAAATTAACTCTCCAGGTTCTGTTGACTTTTGTCAGTTCAGGTTAGCGATATCTCTGTCTTTAGAGCACAGTCATAAAGTAAGAATTTCCGATGTGCCGAATTAACCATTTCTGTAATTGACGCTGCAGTTGTGCGTTTTTAGGTAGTTATATGAAACCAATTCAGCAGTCATAAGTATTTTTAATCTGTTTTAGGTATCAAAAACTATAAATCACGCAAAAATTGTATATCAGATTAAATATGCAATTTAAATCTTTGGAATTTCAGACGAAATTATTCTAAAACAACAGATACAGAGAATACAAGTACACTGATATTGATTGATATTAAAGTTCACATAATTAATATGCCTTATCATCGGGTAGAAACTAAATTTTAGTTTTTACTACGAGAAAACGAGCACAAATAAAAGACTGTTTTTACTCATTATGCGGACAACTTGAATTTAAATAAATCGTGAGTGAAAACGGGACAAAAAATAACTTTTTAAGAAATATATATGTTTGATTGAAGTTTTGTGTACTTTTGTTGGTGGAAAGTTTAATGTTTACAAGTCACTTTTTCTTGGGAAATCAAACACCTTATTTGAGTAAGTAATAGTGGACCCATCAACAAATACCAGCCAGTAAAAACAGGATCTTCACTGAAAAACAAATTGAAAGAATCAACACCGGTCAATCCACAAGCCATCCTTAAAACTGAAGGTCGAATATCGCCGTTATCAATTCAGAAGAGATGTATATAAATCGTGCATGAATAAAGGGAAACAAATTTTCACTGAAACTAACCACAAATGGTTATAAAACACCTTTGATTTACAGATATGATGAGCTAGGTCTTTGATGAAGCAGATGAAATGCATTCTTTACATCATTTCATAGCATCTGGAGTAAACCTAATGTGGTCGAAACTTATAGTTTTTGAATTGAATGTGAGTCTCAACCCTACATAAGTAAAACTAGAATATGGCCAAAATATTCTTGTGAGATAACATGCTAATTTCTTAAAATACATGAAACCATAACAGAACAAAGCAGAACAACCAAGAGCACAAAGCTTTGATACTGATAATCCTCTTATTTACATAACACATTGTCAATGTATCGTTCTACTGTGAATCGACTACTTCTGTCAAACAAACTGTCAGAGGCAGTGTTATTTATCATGCATCGATGCAGATGATCATCTGCAGAAGTAGAGTTTTGAGGGTCACACATTTTATCCCCACTAACCTTTATGATCTTCTCATCAATGCCTTGCAAAGTAAACTTCAGACGAAGTTGAATTATTTGTATGATTCATGAAAAAGTATGTTTTTTTAGATATGTGATTTTTATCTAGTTATTTAATATCCCGTGAGTCGTGGAAGGTTTAATTGGTGATTACATGTTGACGGTGTCTAATACCTATTTGTTGGCAGCTCATCCACAAAAATTACTCATTTGAAAACGACTTTTTAACTAATGAACAAAAACTGATTTAGTTCTGATTAAAATCACAGCATAAATTATATATCATATAGCTCTATTAAACTATAGGATTTAAACCATTTAGACAGCTAAATAGTTTCTAGATATATGAATAGGCCTGAGATATTCGGTATCGGTTTTCAGAGTACATATACAACTCTATGAAAGTACGATTTTGAATCAGAATTATCCAAACCAATAGTTTATGTTTACTTACGGTTTATCTGGAGATAGTTCAAAATGAAGTTTACGTATCAAGGCATAGGCCGGTATACTGCTTGTGCTTAATGCCCTGGTGGATTTAATTCTGTTTGTCATTTTGAAGTAAAATTTGCCTCACAGCAAAAACTCATACGCAGTTCGAAAATGTGGTCAAGGTATCCAATATTCAATACCTTTGCCATTGTATTGTATAAACTGGTTGCTTTCTTTGCACTCACTTCCTGTTGTTTCAGTACCATTACTAGTATTTGATAATGTCCACTAAATAAAAGTCCAGTCAATTGACTGCACCAATTTTAGTCACACTGAGAGTTATTTGTGGATTTGCATGTCATGTGGTTTGAGTGAATTAGTTTGTCTCAGGGTATTAGGGCTTCTGAATACCAATAGCCATCATGATGCCGAACAGGAGGTTGTTTAGCTTCAATATTGAAATAATTAAGTGATTGCTCAAATGCTAATAGAAGACAATGGTTTCAAGAATGAATTGATAAGACAACTAATTGGTAATCCCGGCACTGTGAGAAGGCCAAGGTTGTAAGAATAAAGGAAGAAACGGCGATGATATTAAGAGTGACAGGAATTATATGCTGATGTGCGGTAGTGGCGACCGTGCCAAATTGTGACACATGAATCAGAGTGGAGTGGTAAACCATGACTTTGTAGCGTGGCGTCGAGTTGAGATTAACTATGAACACCGCTACCAAGAAACATGTGCCAGATAAATCAGAAGGCGAAGGTTGAACATAACCAAAGAAACCCATAAAATCCCCGAGAAGCCAAATATCAGAAGGCAATTAATGGACCAAGTCGAGGTTTATTAGCTGGCGATCTCGTGGTATCGAAAGGATACCGAGATCGTGCCAGGATACAACCTTGGTTACAGAAGGTAACCGAATTCGCGCGAAATTACAATCGAGGTGTGAGAATAAGAATGGAAGCACAAAATAGTTGTCATTATCACAGTCAAAGAAAAGCACGTTAAAACAAACACTGGTACAGTTGGTTATAATAATAATTGTTTTTATTAAACCAGTCGTGTTCTCGTGATGAATGTGAGTCACTACAACTTTATCTTAGTTGAGGAGCTCATCAATGGGAAGTAGTAATAATAGTAAAACCATGTCTAACGTGGCGAAAAACACGATATGTTGGAGGGAAAAGGACATTTATCACCCTAGTTACAATAGAACAGACTACACCAGAGTGGCGGAGGTTAACAACGGATAACTACTAGGAAATGGTGGAGGTCGTCGTACAGAATGTTAGGCTCAAGATAAGCATACATCCGGAAAGCGAAGATTCTGAGTTAAGTCCCTCCAAGGAATTCGAATCGTAGTTTTTGTTAAGCGTTTTAGTACGAATAAATACCATGAAATTTCTGAGGCACTAAAGTTTATCCATAAGCAATCTTTGTTAGAGAATTCTTATTGAAAGGCAAATAATGTGGCCGACGAATTTATGTATGATTAAGAAGATACCAAAATATACCGAGTCAATCACTGAAGAAGACATTCCGTTAGAACATTAGTGTAAAGAATAGGAAAACGCACCAAAGTCGTCGTTCTCGCTGTCATGGGGAAGTAACGAGAAAGTTCACCCATTAGTTGCTCTATATTGAAAATGTCGCTAAATTACCTAGATTTTTCTTAATCGTCTTTCTTTCGACAAATCACAATTTTCTCTTATGTCCCGTGAATGCAGTCGATCACATTCGAAAACGATATAGGATTAAGGGTATTTATGGTCTAGAGGTAACATTATAGTTTACAATTAAATTAGTAACAGACAAATGCTTGAGCTATGATTGTTATGCATTAAATTGTATGTTCAGTTGTCTACACGAAAGTAAGTGAATGATAAGAAGCTCAGTCGAATATTAAGTTGAGCCCAAGGGCAGCTGCGCGTTTTTTAAACTTCAGCGTTACTGTTCCCAATTAAAATAATCTCTCTGTGAAAGTACTGTTGCGTCATGATATCACATAGTTTTGTAAGTTCTTTTTCGTTGACGGATGACGTTAGGGACGGCGACGTTGTCGTAAACACTGACTATAAAAAGGAATTTTCTCCGTATGCTTCTGAGACGCTTTTTTGATGAAGTGGCAAGTAAGGTGATGAAATGGCTGTCAACTTCAGGTGTCATGACGTATGACAAAATGTAGCACATTGACGTTTCAGGATTGTCATCCATCTGGCATGCAACTTATAGTCATATCCTGCTGAAGACATGCAGCCAACTTCCACAGGTCCTCTTCAGATGACAAAGGGAAATACCAAATTGCTTGTCCAGTATCAAGTTTTCGACTATGTTCGCGTCCATCACAATAAGACATCAGCTGTTTGCACTCAAGTCTTATTTAGCTGACACGTTCTGCAGAACAGCTTTAAGTTCATTAAATCTTAAGGATTAACTCAAATCTGAAACGTTACTTACTCGACTAGGACGTGTAGGGTGACACATTCAATTGTGCCTAACTATTTTTCGTTAAGACAAGCCTATTTCGAAAAGGATGAAACGATATTGTTCAGTGACCGGAATATATGATATTGAGCCTGACTGTTTCCAGCCTTCATCTTAACCACATCCATCTCAACGGAATTATAAAAAAACCCTTCTTTCCCTTTCAATGCACCTCCACAACATATAAATGGAATTATTGTACCTAACTTTCAAGCTTTTATGCGTTTAGTGGCAAGGTGTTTCCGCCCGTCAAATTACTGACATGGTTGACCAGGTAAACTATGGAACTAAACTAAGACACCATTCGCAGTCTCTATATCAACTACAGCAAATGAGTGTCTGTATTTTTAACTCACCATAGTAGTGGATGACCTTGCATTTAATGTCAACCAATTATCGTCTGAATGAGGAGTTGTGAAGGCTATAGTAATTCCACTTGTTGACTTCGTGACTTGATCTTAGCTGGACTACCATTGAAGATGGAAGCATTAGACGACCGTTCCGTTCTAGCATGGGACTCCTCAACGCTGCGCAACTACGATGTATTGTTGCGCAAGACCATGGATCGAGGCTAGACATTAACACCATCAGATGCCGACTCAGTGGTCTTAAAGTTAAGCTTCGCGCGTGACACCGAAGGTCAGAGGTTCCGCATACAGGATCGTGGATGAACACTGCTGAACAGTCCCATACTAGAACAAAACGGCTGTCTAGTGCTTCCAGGTTTTCAATAGTGATCTAGCTTAGATTGACTCGTGAATTCAACTATTAAAGTTATCATCTGGTTGGGCACCGTTCTGCAGGTGCATATCCACAACGTTGGTAGGATAAAGACAACGTTCTTTACCCACAATCTGTCTAATATTTACAATGAGAATGATGTCATAACATCATTTGCTATGCCTAATTCAAATTATACACATCAATGTCACTTTTGCTTTTTCCTTTTGTATAGTAAATTGTTTTATCCTAAATGGACGCGGAACATAGTGATGATTGGGGTGTCGGTGGTGAATTGGAATTGGCTCAAGACTTCGAAGTTATCGATCTGAATGTATGTTTTGTCTAGAGTTCGGCTAAATTTTCCTTTGATAGGAATTTGATTCTAGTTGTGGTTACGTTTCGGAAGCAGATGACTCAACATATATCTCTTCGTTTCTTAATGGTCTCGTAACTGATGAAACTCTTTATTCACGATATTTGAATGGGATTATCAGTTTTGATGATTTGATGCGTGAAATGCACCACTCTACTACTGTGGATAATGATTCTTGCCACAGTAGCGATTCAGACTGTTCTAGCAAAAACGACGATTCTGAATATTCTACACGTAAGTTTACTTACGATTTATTTAAATTTTACCACAAATATACGCTTATTGTATTATATGTAAGAATCATGAGGATATATTAACAATCAGTTTCGATATTCACTTGTCTGAAATCGCTTGTTCACAACGTAGTCTGACATTAAGTAATGAAGCAATACTATAATTGTCTCAAAGCTGAACACACCCTCGGGACCTTATACATGATCGAAATGCGTAATATCAGAATAGGTGCTTCCTACAACCATGAAGAATTATTGTTTCGGCAAATTGTCAATTTTAAAGCAACCTTGAACTATTATTCAGAGGTGATTGAGTGCTTTGTGTTAAGTGGCCCAACAACAGAATAGATTGTCTAGTCCATACGAACGTAGAGCTTGGGACAGACGTCTGTCGGCCTTATCTGCCACACAACACTGGGATGATTAGGCGAAATAAATAAAACAAAAAGATAAAAAGACTGAAGTAGTGTAACAGTGGTAATGCAATAGATTAAGCAAAGGAAATATTATTTTAAAGCTCAGAGTTGGAAGACATATGAAAGGATACTGAAATTCAGTATCTTGAGGAAGATAAAGAGTAAGTGTATTTGTGCCATTGTGACCGATTCTAAGTCATATCACCCAAGGTCTTTAGCTACTGACCGCGGCTGTCCAATTAAGTCCTGACTGAATCGAAATTTGGAGCAGAAAACTTTCTACCCTACGGACCAATGACCTAAAACGATTATTCCTAACTCAGCCATTTCGTATTGAACTCCCAAAGTCACCAACTGTTTACATTACTACCTTTATATTGTTTTTATGTTTTAAGAGTCATTTAGATTTTCCACTTTGCTCGTATAGTTCGTTTTTAAAAGTTCTCAGTAGTGGCTTGAAGTTTATTGCGACTATCTGAATTCATTTTGTAGTTACGGTGCTCAAAATACAAGATGTTTTTTATTTATTTGAACACATAAATATTAGTACAAAGGGGCACTGAATACATTTGCACCGCACAAATCACTTGATTTGTGAGTGGTCTATCATACTGCCCGGGTTTCTAAACCGAAGCATGTGGTTTTCTTAGATGGCCATACCCATAGCATTCGACCTAAAGGTCTGATCTACAAGGCAGTGGAGCAACATCAGCGGATGCAGTGCCATGGTAGCTGGTGACCAACAATAGGTCCATACGCCATTTGTTCCTTCAGGATACTGAAGCCCATACGCACCATCGGTTTAGAATTAAAGTTTTCCAACTCCCCTAGATGGACCCTCGGTGTCCACCACCCCGGTTAAAGCACCGGACATTCGCTTTTCGTCCTATCAATTTCGTAAACAACACCCGTCTTATTGTTTGTAATTTTAGTATTCATAAGTTTTGCAACCTGAGCCGGTAAGCTGTTTTGATACTGCTATGCACAAGACTCAATATTGTGTTAAACGAAAGGGCGATAACTGGGAAATTAAAGGTTAAGACTGTTACCTGCTTCAGTTTGGGGACCAGGGCAGTATCCCAGCCCTCACACAAGTCGAATGATTTATGTGGTGCATATCCCTTTGGTGCCTCCTTGTACCTATGTTTATGTGAATTAATAAATAAAAGACTGTGACGGTAAAAGAGGTTGAGTAAGTTTCTTCTGGGTACATAGTTATGGCTCCTCCTAAGATTTGAAAAAAGCTTCAACAGACCATAGGAAAGGGAAGCTCACAGCTTTCAGTCTGTTTTTTTCTCACTGTGTATATGAATTTGAGCAGTGTGTCTGCTTTTGTTGAATGACGAGTGTTCACAAGATGTTAAATGGTTGAGGTCTTCGTTAGTCCAATACTACCTCTTTTTATCCATCGGGGATAATCCTTTTGAATCTGATTTGGTAGAATGTCCATTGAACACCCGATATGTGTAGCAACACAGAAGCAAGTGAATTTATAAATATACATGTAAGTGGTCGGATGCGAAAGCTTCTTCTTTAGATTATCATTGAATATAGGCCTACCGGTGAACACCAACCTCAAAGTTGATGCAAAAACATTTTTTTGAGAGAGTTAAAATATCTCTTTGAGGTGCAGAAAGCTTTGTCACCATTGAAATCAATGTCCATTTATGGTGCAGTGGCTGTTAATTTTGGAAGTTTGAGCTTTATATTCGGGTCAATAGATATTAGTGGATATCTATGCCCGATAAGGATTTTTCTTAGATTTAGTCCCTCATATTTGAAGTTGGGTTAATAAATCCATCTCATTTATGTATATGTGTATGGGGCAGTGTTATAACCCAGTTCCTCTTTCTACTAATAGGCATTCACATGCAAGAGTTTGTTAGTTGGACATCAAGTGAATGTCCTATGTAAACGTATCCTTAGAATTCCTTCAGGTCTTGTCATCATTTCAATATTGAGGAAGCCGATGTTTAGTAAATCATATTCATCGAATAATTTGCTTTTATTGATATACTTGGATTCAAATTATTGCCATTCTAGACATTTTTACTTACGTGATATTTTCAGAAAAAATGATTACTCTAAAAATATTTCTTTTAGGACCTAGGAGATCTAAAAGACGACAAAATCCTGATACAGTTGGAAAGAAAAAACTGAAATTGAGAGGACCTCTTATTGTAACTTTTATCTGTTCTGAAAAATTAACATTTAACCTCTATGAAACTTAATAGTCTAAACGTGCTCGATTACCAATTGAGTTAGCACAATATCTTGGAGAAGCTGAAAGACACTTGAACAATGATGAATTTGAACACGCTGAACGTATTTGCTATCAGATCATTGACACAGGTAAACTTATTAGTTGATGTTTATACAGTATCCGTTAAGTAAAAAGGAATACAGTTTATTATTTTTACTTAACAAGTCTTGTATTTTGTGAGTTTTAAGAAGTAGATTGTAGTTAACTGGTGCTATCTAGTGGTTGAAATATCCGATAGTGAGGTTGGTATGTATGAAAGAATCTGATAATATACGTGAATGTTACTGCCAAAATGATCATTTATAAGCTTTGGATTCAGTACATTTCTTGATGTGGGATTTCTACTGTTACTGTCGAGTATGTTAATATCTCAAAACACTTTAACTAAGCGGAAAAACCAGCTTTCCTGTATGGATAAAATATGACCAGGTTATCGAAATTTCCAAAATACTAATAAGCATGAAAATTCTGAACATCAGAAAGACGAAACTTTGTCCTTCAAAGTAATATTTTGTTCGAACTCATCGCTTTTTTAGCCAATCGTACCTTTTAACAGAATTTGGGGGAGACGTTCATCTTTGTCACCGTTAGGTTTTTGTATAAACAGTTTTGGCTCGAAAAAGTAGAATTGCTTTCTTAATACAGTACACATTCATAGAACTGGTGAGAAAAAGAGCTTAACAGTCCTTATTTGCAATATTTGATAGATACATCTACTAATTAAGTTGTAAATCTTGAATTCACAGATAGCTTTTATTAGCTATTTCAAGCGTATTCTTGGGTAAAATGTTGTATACTAAGAAATTACATACGCTCAGTTCATAGTTAATATGACATGTATTGCGTAAAAGTTTTCTGATGCTATTACTTTTATCTCATTCATCTATTGGCACTAAATACTTAGAAGGCATACAGTGTTATTCTTTCTTGTATTTAGCTCCCCAAGCTTCCCAACCATATATTGTTTTGGCCGAAATTAGTTTTCGTCGTGAGAATCAAGAAAAAGCCAAAGAAGTGAGTTTAACCGAATCAAATAGTTCATTTTATAGTTGAAAAATAATTAGCACTTTGTTGATTACGAATTTATTGAGAGATCTTCAACATTTATTTAAAATAAGAGTAATAGGGATGAAAAGTTGGTTGTTTTCCCGGCCTGTGATTTACAAAATTATTCTAAAATTTACAGCTATATTATGTTTAGGACTAATTTCCTCATAGTGAGCACACGGATTGCAACGTTTTTGTTCTGCCAACTAATTCGATTCTTTGGTTGTGATTCTTTTTCAGTTTTTATATCAAGCTGCTCAGAGAAACCCATCCGATAAAAATACTTGGCTTACTCTAGTGGACTGGGCTGAAGAAGCTGAGGATTTCCCTCTTGCTATACACTATGCACGACAGGGTATGCGTTTTTGCGTGATCAGCTCGAAAGTAGCTTACTTGTATTCATCAATAGGACTTTTAAAATATTTTTTATTGCAGAGAGGAAGTACATCTTTGGGTTTTCTTATTATTTTACCACTTCAGCCCTTCGAAGAAATCGAGCTGATACATCATTACGCCAACGTCTTATAGACTTATGTCATGTAGCTGGTCGAAGCAGAGAGGCATTACAGTTACGTTTGGCCGCTCTTTCAGTTACTCCGGAGTCGACGGGTGAGAAACAATTTGAAGTTGCTCGAGAGCTAGCCGATGTAAGTTTTATTGAACTTTATCCTAACCTGTTAACTTTGTCGTTGGCGTGCTTTTAGAGATAACACTTTTCTCATCTAAATTTCCAGGGGTTGAACTTTTACAGGAAGATTCACTTGTTGACTTAAAATATGCCGATAATATGGTAGAAGATGCTGACGAAATGCAGTTTTCTGACCACCATAAGCAACAATGTATGAATGTTCGGGATGCGATTCTCGCCCTCAAAATGTTGCCTCAGGATTGGGTTGCATCGACATCCGAATCAATGATAGGGAGTGAAGTAGTTGAGTGTGTCTACCACTTCACTTATCTTGAGAGTCTCATCAGCCCCTGTGGTCTAGTGTGTGAAGAAATCTCAGCACGGATACAGAAGGCTTGACCAGATTTCGCCAAGTTGCGTAATTTTTGGAGTAGGCGAGGTATCCGTCTATCAACCAAAGGACGTGTTTACTGCATAGCAGTTCGTTCCGTCCTACTTTATGGCAGTGAAACATGGCCGGTAAGAGTAGAGGATATTCGTAGGTTACTAGTATTCGATCATAGGTGTCTTCGAAACATTGCTCGTATGTCATGGGACCATCGAGTAAGTAACACAGTTGTTAGGAAACGGGTACTAGGTAAGGACGGCAAATCAATTGATGAAGTAGTGAAACTTCATCAGTTGAGATGGCTGGGACATGTGTTACGTATGCCCAACGACCGACTACCTCGACGTGCGATGTTCAATGGTATAGGAGTAGGTTGGAAGAAAGCTAGGGGCGGCCAGACCAAAACATGGCACAAATCCATGAAGTCACTGACAAGTGGACTGAGCCATGTTGGTAGGTGTAGACTACCTGGTTGGGATCTGCGAGACGATAGCAACCGATGGTTAGAGACCTTGAATGACATGGCTCAAAATTGTTTGCAATTGTGCATGTTTATCCACTCTCTGTGGTCTCCCAAATCCAAATCTTCTGAATTCTTCATGTCCTTTTTTCTCTTTCCAAATTTATTTCACTGTATTATACTCATTGAATAACATCTTCAAACCCTAATCTTTCCGATTACTGCTTATTCTCTTACTACCTCTACCACTATGGGGTTTGAATCGACAACTGTATCTCTGTGCTAATGTGGTATGGCAACTTGAATTGATGTACGTATGTACGAAGTTCTACGTTGTTGCTGACTTACTGTTTGAATCATGATCATGTATTAATTTACCCACACCACTTTTTAATGGACAGTACTTTACTAATATCGCACTGCTACATTTAGGATATATTATTGTAAATATGGTATATTGATAAGTTGCCTCATAGAATATTTACAGTTAGTAACATTTGGTTCATATCCAAAGAAATTGTGTGTATTGACAAAGTCGACTATCGTAATAGTGTAACCCTCAAAACTTACATAAAATATTCCCGCTAAAATGGACGATATAATATTACAGAGGATTACGTTTTGTACTGAAGGCTTAAGACAATTTGTGTAACTCGGTTACATGTCTGGTAAATAATGATCTTACTGGGGATTTATATTGTCAATATCGCCATGACAACTTTACCTGAAGATAATGCAGTTAAGTAAGGTATCCTCAGTACCCTTATTTTGTTTTTGGACCGGGTTGCAACTCGGAAATCTTGTAGGAATATATTCTATTCGTAAGCAAATGCTGCATTTTCACTTGGTTTCTTCAAAAATGTAATGTTTTTCATAGCAATTTTTCAAACTACTTGATCCACACAACTCGGTAAAGGCGTATGAAAATGCTTTTGAACAATACCCAGATCATGGAACGGATAATGGTACGTATCAAATTTTAATTCTCTGTATCTGGTCCTTATTTAAAAACCATTTTGTCTCACTAATCACGCACTAACATACGCCTGTTAACCCTAGTGGTACATAGGTCGCCGACTAACTCTGTCCTGGGCTCTCCTTCCCATTTGTTTCCAACTGCTATTCATTCTTTTGATGTCTACATTAAATTCCATCTTTTTCTTTTGTCTTCAGGATTCCAAGTTAGGGCTAGCCTCGTGATGCGGTTTGATGAATTCCTCATTGTATGTCATACCCACCTCCATCGTCTTTTCTTAATTCTCTCTTCACCTAGGAGTTAGTTTGTTCTCTACCACATTAGGTTTTTGCTGATCGTATCTGTCCAGTGGATGTAGAGTATCTTGCGTAGAAAACTGTTTATAAATACATGTACTTTTTTGAGGATTATAATTAATCATTATTATTAATGGCTTTATTCAATATTATATTTTTTAGTAGTTCTCCACGTTTAAGTTCAGTAGAATAAAACTGTCTTTACGTTCTGACTTTGATGTTGGTTGACAGTTGTTTCGAGTCCGAGATGTTCTTCAATTACAGGAGTGCTATCTTTGCTTTGCTAATTTGTGCCCTTCCATATGCATCACGTCCTCCTTGTTAATCTATGATGCTACCCAGGTACATATAAGTTTCCATCAAGTGTGATTGGGTTGATGCTTATTGTGTTATATTAAAGAATCTTGCTTAATTGCTTACGTATGTTGGGACCTACTGCTGTAGAGGCTGCTGCTACGCTGACTGTCTTTACCTGTGTTTGTTGGTGTGTATAGGATAGAAAAGCTAGGTCATCTACGAAGTCCAGATCATCTGGTTGCATCCAAGCTGTCTATTTTATCCCGTGCCTCCCCTCAGATGTGGAGGTCTTCATAATGCAGTCAACCACAAGAAGAAAGAGAAAGGGGCAGAGTAAGCAGCCTTGTCTGACTGCAGTCCTCACTTAGAATGCATCTGTCAGTTGTCCTCCATGCACGACTTTGTAGTGTAGCCCGTCGTACGAATTCCCGATGGTGTTGACGATTTTTTCAGGTACTCCATAGTGTCGAAGAATTTTCCATAATGTTGTCCTATCCACACTGTCGAATGCTTTCTCATAATCAAGGAAGTTGGTGTATAGTGACGAGTTCCATTCAGTTGATTATTCAACAGTGGTCCATGATGTCGTGATTTGGTCTGTGCACAACCGATCCTTATGGAATACGGTCCGTTGGTCTCTGGAAGTTGGGCGTCTACTGAATCCTTCATCTAGTTCAGCGACACTGTTGAAAATTATTCCTGGTACCGATAGAGGTGTGATGCTTCTGTAGTTTTCGCATTTACTCAGATCTCCTTTCTTTCCAGTCTGTTGGCACTTGTTCTTCCTCCCAAATCTATCTGAACAAGGAGTTACCTCTATGTCTAACTTCAGTGCTTCAGCTGGTAAGTTGTCAGGTCCTGTTGCTTTCCCACTCTTGATTTATCTGGTGGCCATCCTGATTTCTTCGACCGTTGGTGGAGTGATATCTATTGGAAGGTCTTTGTGTGCTGCTTCGATACCTGGTGGATTCAATGGAGTTGGTCTGCTCAAGAGCTCCTCGAAGTATTCCACTCATCTGTTCCTCTATTCTTGAATCCCAGTGATTGGCTTGACTTCTTTGTCCTTGACCGGTCTCTCTGGTTTAGTATATTTCCCCTGACAGTTTCCCCGTAGTTCTTCAATAATAAACACAATTATCTTTAATTGTGAATAGAGCCTTTAAGTTGGTTTTGGGATTCACTATGATTTATTTTTAAATCCCAGGACCGATAATTACTTGACGCAGAAATTAAAAACAGTCAGGTTTTTTTCTAGTTCATGTCTTCTCTTTTAACCACATTTACCGTAATAAACTTCTGTTTCGGTACTATGGACTATTAAACTATTCCAAGTGTCTTAGTGAGAATTAATTTTCTTAATTAAAGCAATGATCCGTTTAGTTTCGACTTTTATGGAATCGCGCTTCTGCTTGAAGTTCAACGTCATATAAATTTTCTAGTAGTCATTACAGTTTATCATAATTTACTAACTCACGTTGTCCTAAATTCCTATGCTATTGTTTGAGCAATCATGTTTCTAGTTTTTGCAGCTAAGCGTGTTTTTTTCCTATAACTGATATCGACTTCAATAAAATTCACTCTTTTTTTTACATGAAGATCGAAATTCAGCCTTATCGATTTTGTTTCAAATGAAACGTTATGATCAAGCTCTAAAGGTAAATTTAGCATTGTCTTGATAAATTATATATATTTATGATCGAGCCTTATTCCTATTTCTAACTTATGAATTTTACATAGAGTCGATATGACTTTGAGATAGAATTTTGATATTTCGTAGTCAATGGTATTGTGTATCTGGCCTTCCACAACGTAGATTTACGTACTCACGTAAACTGAAGAAAATCTAGCTTATGTTGCTCAACCCTATAATCAAAGTTGTTAGCATGAAACAGCACCACTGCCCTTTAATATGAATTTATTTAGCGTTGAACTTCACCTAAGAAATTGGTTTGCTAAGATGACAGAACAGAATAAGTTAAACAATCAGGGTTCACATTGACACTGATCAAATGTTCCAGTTAGTAAACAAGTAGCTTATATTATCATTGTATATCTTTTGGGATTTTCGCTAAATTTCTTGACGAAAGAAGTTGAAGGCAAAAACAATTACGAGTTTTATCAAGTAAATATTTTCTGGAGCGTCTCATGAATATGCGGAACTGGTTAGTTGGTTCTAGAAAATCGTTCAGTAAATCATGGGTATACGTCCATATTAACGAATATGATGGAATTCTGTTAGATTATGTTAGATTTCTATAATTTGTTTTGATATGAATATGCTACAATTTTAGCACTACTTTGGTTTAAAAAGGCATATCATAGCAAAGCGTAAAATTCTTATTTAGTGTCAGTCAACTCTACAATTGTTTGGTTAGCTGATCTTCTTTAACCTTTAATGATCTATTCATTGAGTGTGACGGGTTTTTCTGTTCATTACTTCAATTTTGATTAGTCTTGTAATTTATTTTTATTGTCCCTATGTTGTTTTGTATACTCAAAATAATCTCGTGTTTGTATTTATCAACGTGGTCACTTACTAGCAAATGTTCATTTTTAGATGAAACAGCTGTTTATACACCTGAGATGCCGCAACAAGCTACTGTTTGACAAACTCCCAATCAAAGAAGATGATGTTAGTGTTCAGAATTAACGTTGACTTAGGCTCAGAATTACACTGACCTGTTCATTTGCTAACGTAGTTACGACATACTTAACAAAATGGCTAGCCAGATAAACTAACATAGACCTTCGCTAATTACAACCAGTTATATCTACCTTTCCACCTGTACCTGCATCAGCACGTAGGTAGGGTATTATCTAGAATGGAATATCCCAAAGAATTTAACCTTTAATGGCTCCAAACTACCTAGTAGTACCATAGTAAGACATTTTAAACACTGATTACTCAGTAAACCCTTATACTACTGTCTTCTAAGTGATAAACAAGCAAAATAATGGTAGACTATCACTACTAAAGAACAACCACCATTTGACGTCTCTACTCCAATTTGTGTTTGAAAAAGTCTGTGGTTCACCTGACATTCATGGTGACCATTTGAATGATATCCTACCTTGTATTCAGTAGTTCTCGTCTTCAAAATATATAAAATTCAATTTTTTAGCCTGATCTTTATTCCTAATTTACTACCATTACAACTAGTCTTATTATTTCAACATTATTCAGTAGAATGTTTGACTTCTTTTCTATTTAATCTGTTCTCTCTGTTATAACTTGTGCCCTATCAATATATAAGGTAACGATACCGCCAGTTAGACAGCAATGAATCATCGATCGGACCAGTGACGCATAAAACACGTACGAGCAGTCTAGAGTGCCTATTGGCCCTGCTTCGTGCCTAGCTCAGCCAGTTAAGTTCAGAACACCAATCTCAGCCTCTGCGATATAAATCGCGTATTTCGAATATACTGGGTTTATATACAAACCAAACAGACCACATCACTTCATAAAATAGAAAGTAACATTTGTGCAAGATATAGCCAAAAGTGGCTGTGAATGTGGTAGGCAGTAATTAATAGACTGGACAGAACTCAGGAACGGTAAATCGTATAACAACATTCTATGCGTCAAAATAAAGCTTTTAATAAGAGGAACATGAATATGCATAGTTTATCTACTTAATAATCATACCATAAAAGTATATGTATCGTATTGGTTCATAAATAATTCTCAAAAGTTACTATTCATAATTCCCGTCGGAATATAACACTCTCCTATTCTCTGCAGCTATTGTTGTCATTATTAGTGTTATTATCATCGCTATGGTGATTGCTTTAAAATTGTTTCTTGTTAATTACTGTCATTTTTATCATTCTGTCTATCGTAATCATATATACATATATACATATATATATATACATATATTTCTTATGCTCCATTACATTATATCCTCTCCGTCCCTTAATCCATTTCATTCATCCTACGTTGCTGGCTGTTGTTACTTTACAAAAGTTTACCAAGAGAACTAATTGCATAATATTGTAATGTGTTTTGTGAACTCGCATAGATAAACAAAATTTTTTTTATCTTATTAACTTAGTTGTTTTTTCTGTAATCAGTTACATTGTGTTATCATATCTGTAAATACTTTAACAAACTTTTGAGTTCTTAAACGATAAGTTGGAAAATATTTTTCATTGTTGAATTTATAGTTTTTCACTTCCTTCTGTGGTGTCAAACTGTATTTGAATTCTGGGGATTTATTTGATATGGACAGACATTCATCGAAGTTGTCGTCTGTGGAGAAATTTAAAAGGTAAATTGACTCATCACTGGTTATTTCATATCGTATATAATTTATCTATTTATTTGTTTTATCTAGATGTGAATTCCCTGATGATATGCCTGTTGAATTACAGTTGAAATTGTTTCTTATTTTTGCACATCTGGGACTTGGCCCATTAGTTGTGGTGAGTTGATACATTGTATTTCTCTAATATTCTTTGTTTTAACACAACTGCACAAAAGTTTTGAATAGATTATGTACATTATAAAAACATCCACAAGCCATTGCAATGGCGTAAAAGTTAAACAAAAGTGATTCTTATTTGTGGTTTTTAAAGATTCACTAAGATGTCATAAACGTAATTTCTGTCATGACTAAATTCTATTTTAAAAATCCTTCGAACCATCATTTAGTGCTAAGTAGGTTAATCTTACTAAACTACAGATTATTATAATTTAGAAAATACTGAGAGTTACAAGTGACATCTCAATATTTAGCACTACTTGTGCTACATGACAGGTGTACCCATGAACGTCATGTAATGAAATGTTGACATCAATTACTGGTACAGTAAAATGATTGCTTACTTTTTGACACAATGTCTTTTAGTATGCTATTTGGTAATTCTTCCCAAGGACGGTTTTGTACTGTATATATACGTTTTGAATTGTATTTGTTGTTATCGCTCGTTTCTGGCTGTTTGCAGAATATAATTCCCCATTCCGAGCATCGACTTCTCCCTCTAATTAGCTGGGATGGGACGCATCAATAGCTAGCTTACTGGTCTTTGGTCACCGAATCTTGTTTCTCGTTCACAGATTAAGTGAACTCCTGATAGATTCAACCCTAGCAAATTTGGCGACGGGAATGGGATTCGAACCCCCTCCAGGAAACCCCAATGGATTAGCACCACAAGTTTGAACTCACCTTCGTATATTGAGATTTACTGTCCCGAAATATATCACCAGCATCTATAGATGTTTGACTCAAAACTGGGTACATAAACCTGTACTGGATTATTGAGCAACATTATTTAATTACTTATATTATTGGCTTGTCAGGACCATTTATTTTCATCTTTTTTGGATGGAGTTTTGTTCTCAACTACAATAGCAACAACCCAAGAGCTCACAAAATCAACTGCGTACACACTTTGTTCAAAAGGGCGAGGACACACCGCAGCACGAAAAAATAAAGAGAAATACCTGAAGGACGTATTTCAAAAGAACGGCTACCCAATCAACTTTATCAAAAAATACCAACCGCACGCAGCATCAGAACCTAAGTCAAGCACAGAAATCAACAAAAGGATCGCCCGACCATACATAAAAGGCATATCAGAAACCGCAACGAGACTGCGGAAAACCTTCGGCATAGGTGTGGCACACAAACCGACAAAATCACTACAATCAATCCTATGCAAACCAAAGGATAAAATAACAAAGGGAGACAAATCAAACATCAACTACAAAATAAATTGTGCCAACTGCGAAAAACACTACATCGGACAAAGCGGACGCCCCCCTCACCTTCGCCTGCATGAACATCAATTAGCAGCCATACGCTATGGTACTTCCTCACTTATATCAATACACGTGGACAACTGCGGACACTCATTCGATTGGAAAAATGTGGAAATCTTGGACAGAGGAAATTCCAAAAACACCAGAGAATTTTTAGAATCCTGGCACTCAGGTCAATCAGCAATCAACAAGCACATTGAAATCGATCCAATTTATCAACCAATCAGAAAAATTATGCACAAATCTAGGACCAAAAATCAAACCAATGGGAAACACAACCCAAACAAGGAAGTAAACAATGACAAATTTAAGCTCAATAAGAACCAATCAACGTCGAGGTGTACAGAACAAGTTGTGAAACGCATATGGAGAAATCCGAATACTTCACTTCTATCTGAAGTTTGTGCTGATGGTGTTGTTCAGAAGAACAATGAAAGCTCCACGAACAAACCATCCAGCTCAGAGAACAAAACTTTATGAAAATCATCCACCTGAACTACAAATCTTCTCCTTATTCTCATTTTCATCTTTGTTCCACCCCAGCTTTAAATTTGCTTTTTATTTATTTAATATAGTCCCGTGTTGAATCAACGTACACAAATGAAAATATTGCAAAATATTCTAATTGGCTTTTGGATATCGTTGTCGCTTACAAAGAGAAAAATTTATACTCCATATCGATTCAGCTTATTCTGAAACTCAAAAAATCAAATGTTACCTGTAAGGTATTTGTATCGTTTCCACCTTCGTTAATTTGACATCGCGATTACTGTAACTAGTGTACTATATCCGGTTTTATGATTTTTGGAGTTGATTTTTTTAGGATAAAATCAACTGTATATCAGTGGTTTTTTAGATTTATTCTTTGTAGGCCATCTCTATGTATCTGTTTTTTTTGAAGCTGTGTTCAAATAGTACCATGCTTATAATAATGAGGTAGATTCAGATATTATCTGCTTTAATCGGAACCAACCGTATTCCTAAATATGTATGGTTTTTAGCGTTTTTTCATTTCATTTTTCTTGAGCAATGATGAAACTCGAGTGATAAGTCAATTTACTGGACTCGTCTACGATGAGTTCACTTCTTCACATGAGTTAAATACAAAATCACGTAACTAGAACGGGTAATTTACCCTTTCCTCACATGAAAAATGGTTTCAAAAATTTTAATGAACAAATATACATTTTGTTCAGTAGTCTAGTTTTTGAGGATGCAGTTTATTCATGTAATGAATTCAAAGTAATCTAAACAATTTTTCTTAACCTTCCTACAACAGTTTTCAAATTCGTTAAATCAAAACTAAGAAGCATGACATGTACTTAGGCTCCTGTAAATGTAGGCTGCATTGTGTTACTTATGTTGAATCAGAGTAATCTACTCCTCTAATAGCATACAATAAATATAGTATAGGTTCGATCAGTCATTAATCAGACAACAGAATCTAAAGTAACTTTCACTTAATTTGTTTGCAGAAAATATAAGTGTGTATTTTTAGCATGAAGTTTTAACTTTTCCATCTATTGTCTACCATGAGTTTTCCCTAGTTATATCCGATTACAATTCTAGTTAAAATTTCGTAAAGCTTTGTTAATTTCAGATTTGTCATCATAATATTTGTGTTTATTGTTATAAATTTAAACATCCTTTTGTTAAATGTACATCTTTTTTAAAATTGTACTGTGGGGATTGATGTACAAGAATTAAAGACAATGAGTGAACAAAATGTCGTGTTATAAATAAATCAGCAGTCTGAAGATATAGATCTGTTAGGTTCGTTGGGAGTTAAGTCATTAAATGGGCTAAAATGGGGTTGTTAACCGTTTTAACTACACCTTTGCATAACCAAACTGAGAGGTGCTCATGAGCTCGAATATACAAATTCCTAGAACATCCGCCAATATAACTTGCTCCACAAGAGCAGTTGAATTGATAAATACAAAAAAGGTGGCTAGTCTAGGCAGTTTATCTTTCAAATTCGGAGTGATCATTTGACGTGTGGAAAACGGTAATTGTAGTTCTCTAGCCATATATCAATCTGTTTCTTAGATCTCCAGATTATTTCGGTAATTTTAGGGAATTTACTATTCCATACTTTGGTTTTAATTTTATTTATTTCTATCAGTTGGTACAAGTTTGGACATTACTGGCTGAATGTTATTTAGAAGCAGGTGAGACAGAAAGTGCCATCAAAGCCTATCGCCATGTCATAGAAAATCTTGATCCTCGGCATACCGGCGCACGTCTGGGTCTTGTAAATCTTCTTAGACGCCTTGGTAGGAATCAGGAGGCTTTAAAGGTAAGTTTCGAGAAATATTTATTCATACGATTCATAAATTGCGTAAATGGATGTTTTCAATTTTATATTAAATAGTTATTAACTTAATTACGCCTGTTACCCCTAGTGGTACATAGGTCGCCGACTAACTCTGTCCTGGGCTCTCCTTCCCATTTGTTTCCAACTGCTATTCATTCTTTTGATGTCTACATTAAATTCCATCTTTTTCTTTTGTCTTCAGGATTCCAAGTTAGGGCTAGCCTCGTGATGCGGTTTGATGAATTCCTCATTGTATGTCATACCCACCTCCATCGTCTTTTCTTAATTCTCTCTTCACCTAGGAGTTAGTTTGTTCTCTACCACATTAGGTTTTTGCTGATCGTATCTGTCCAGTGGATGTAGAGTATCTTGCGTAGAAAACTGTTTATAAATACATGTACTTTTTTGAGGATTATAATTAATCATTATTATTAATGGCTTTATTCAATATTATATTTTTTAGTAGTTCTCCACGTTTAAGTTCAGTAGAATAAAACTGTCTTTACGTTCTGACTTTGATGTTGGTTGACAGTTGTTTCGAGTCCGAGATGTTTTTCAATTACAGGAGTGCTATCTTTGCTTTGCTAATTTGTGCCCTTCTGTTGAGTCGGCTTTCGGAGAACTTCAACGGAGTCTCCAGAGGCCCAAAAGGAACTGAAGAGTCCATGCCAAATAGAGCACGATGGAGCATTCTAGAATTCCAACGTGGCGTGCTACTATTGGTCAGTAGCATAATATGTCGCTAACGGATTGGCCGAAATATGATGTTGATTTAACAAACGCTAACATCTATAAATACCCATGATTTTCTTTACAAGAACGGACCTTGGAGTAAAGTCTTTTCTCTCATACTTTGCGTCTTCTTTCTGGTGTTCAAGTCGCTGTGTAGTTCTAGCTTGCGGGTTACCCGAATAGCTTAGGAATCGAATATAGCGTTCAATCGACAAGACTTATCACTTTCTATATGCATCACATCCTCCTTGTTAATCCTCGAAGTGTTCCACTCATCTGGTCCTTTATTCTTGAATCCCAATGATTGGCTTGACTTCTTTGTCCTTGACCGCTCTCTCTGCTTTGGTATATTTCCCCTGACAGTTTCCCCATATTTCTTCGAAGTGTCCTACCCATCTGTTCCACTGTTCTTGGAACTCAGTGATTGGCTTACATTCTTTGTTCTGTGGTCCACCACATTTCCCTGCTAGTTTCTTCGTTGTCTCATATTTCCTTATCTTGGATCTTTTTCCACCGTTCTTGCTAAGTTGTCCATGTATCAAGCCTATCACCTCTAATGCTGCTCTTCACTTTCCTGTTTGCTTGTGTCTACTCGGTCTGTGCCATGGCCTTCTCTGCTCTTGTTCAACTGTTGTTAGCTGCTGTTTTCTTGTCCTGGGTCTCGATAGGGGTCCATTCTTAATGATGGCGTTTCTTGCGGGTCAGCAACTCCTGTCAGATTGAAGTTAGTGTTAGTGTCTCCCATAACCATGTTGTTGAAAGTACATAGATCTCTAAGTCTTTCACTATTCTTGTTCCTTTCTCTCATTCCATGTCGTCCCATGATATGTTCATACTCGGTGTTGTTCATATTGACCCTGACATTGAGGTCCTCTATCAGTACAGTCCTGTCTGTTCCTGGCAACCTCCCACAAAAGTGATCTTTATCGTCTTCTTCACTTTCATTGGTGATAACATTCATTGTGATCCCCTCCTTTGTTTTGTAGAATGATTTGATGATTCTAGATCCATGAGATTCCCACCATGTAAGCGCTTTCGGTGTTTCTTCGGACAGCATCAGTGCAACTCTTCATGATCAGAGTACAACAATACCTCTCCCGAAGTTAATGGGTTTCATTCATTCCGAGCAGAGACAGACTTGATTTCCTAATTTCTTCAGCTATTTGACTGGTCTTCATGGACTCCCACATTGTTTTGGCATTTCATGTGTTATGTTTAAGCCCCTTCAATCACCATGTGACATGGTCGATAATCAGAACACTGACTTGTACGACCTTGGCTCTGTGCCAGCTCAATGACGCGTTAATCATTTTCAGCAACCTTGAGTTTACTCTTAGTCATTATTGGTTCTTCTCGCTTACACCTGCCCGTTTGACTCGCGAACACAATCTCAGCTTACACTGAATCATATATTTCAGACATACCTAGTTTATATACAAGGAAATCAGATATCATCATACTATAAAATAGTAAATAACAATTATAGAAGATCAATCTTAAATCAATGTTAGCGTGAAAGACTGTAGTAATAGTCGCCAATGGGTCAAACGAAGGCCTATATATATATATATATATATATATATATATATATATATAATAACAGTCCATAATTAGTTCTAGAAGTTACTTATAATTTAGTCTTCGTCCACAAGATCATGTACCTAACGTAATTGTTGCTCTAGTTGTTAGAAGGGGCATCGGCCTCGTGATATCCAAAGGATCTCAGCTTTTATCATAAGGCGTTATGATTCTTCTAAATGAAGATCGTTCCAACTACCAGGTCACAGTTTAAATGATTCTCTTGGTTAAGGTTTTTAGCAAGGTTGTTTTCTACCCTCCTCCTTTATCCAGACCTTGGAGCGATATTTACTCGCAAGGGGTTTGGAAATTTATTGATTTATATCTTTACTTATTCGTAAATGCATTTATTTTTTTTTTGTTTTTGAAATGTGCATATGTTAGTTTTTCACTTACGTTGTCTGTATCGAATCTCTGAATCTTTAAGAAATGGGATTTTTGGTAATGATATGTTTATGTTTATTATTTCTGGTTATAATATCAATTTTATCTTTTTTGTTTCTCTGAAATTTTAGTTCTTAAATCCCTCAAATTTAGTTCAGAAAGGTGTTAAACCCGAAATATCTTTGACCGAACAGTGTGATTTAATTGTACAGAAAAGAGAAAAATCTCCATTGAAATCCAGTCACAGATCAACTGTTAGATCATTTGCTTCTTCTGACTTACGAAAAACTTCAGTTGTTGGTGACATCGATAGTGATGAATGTTCTGTTGAGAAAGTTTGTCTAGATAGCGACTGGCTCGATGCATCTGCTAACCTTGTCTCCCGTGATCATGTGGCATATAGATTAGCCTACGAACGTTGTCGAATGCTTGATACACCAGAAAGTGTAGATTCATTTTTAGAAGAAGCTTGGGCTTTGCTGTTTAGTGATGTGACACGTGTTTGCGGACCTAGATTTACTCAACGTAAGTAAATTTTTTATTGAATCAATAGCCTATTTCCCATATTTTTACGTGTAAATGTCATTTGTTAAAATCAGATGTATTACAAAATTTAACAGATTTCTCTTTTCACTTTTATTATTGATCCAGCTTGAAAAATATCCTGTTTTCTCTATGTTATATATCGCGATGAGATTGAAATGTACACAGTTTGTCATAATATTATAAGTAATTATCTTCTTATGTTTTATTATTCAAGAAATAATGAGGACGGAATTAATAAATACGACAAATGGAAGTGCAGGCTATGGGTAGTTGTAGACATTTTTACTGAATATAGTTTCGTACCCTTCCTTAATGTAAACAAATTTGCACACCGTAACCGAAGGACTAATTACCTGTTCAAGTGAATTTAAATCCACAACTGAATGATTTAACCTTGATAGTCTACTGAATATTAAAGTAAAATAGGGGGATTTATACTGTTTCGAATAATACGCTCACATATATTACTTATATAATTTTGTTGAGAACCGGAAAATGTTCCTCGGTAGAGTCTCTATATGCTCGAAAAATTTGAAAACGTTTCATCTAATCGGCACTAAATAGAAGCTTCTCAGAAATGCTTGGAAAAATAAAAGATTATGTGTCAAATTTTGATTGATCAACTACTTCTTTTACTATATCAACATTGTCTCGAAGACTATAAATGAAAACAATTTGATGTACTTATACGTCCCTTTTTCTGTTGCTTGAGTTAGTGGGTAGAATTAGTCTGCAAACATGGTAAGGGTCTAAGAATCCAGCTATAACCGTTCTAGTAAGATTTATCAAATTTAAAGTCAAATAAATCTTTCAGCCTGACTGTATTTACTTTGTACATAAGCAGATGCGTAATATTTATCAAAGTGTTTAACTTTCATCTTTTGGACAATAGTAATTAGTTATAGTTTGAATTAGAATTTGCTGCTACAATTATTCACATTGAGAAGCAAAATGATCTAAATTATAGTATTATGCTATCTACTGTAGATTTGTTATTCGTTTCTCTATGCTCCTGGAATTAGAGTATTTCTTTCTAGTACACTTAAACTTTGTCTTTGATGTTCTGTAGCATGATTACATTGGAAACAGTTGACTGAACAGTTCATTTTATTTTGTTTCATTTCATTTAGATTGGATTCTTAATTAATATCGTTATACTGCTCTGTGTAAGGTTTGCTTATGAGATGCCGGTTTTTTTTGTTACCTAGATACTTTGTGTTGTACTTATTCCACCATTACCTTGTCCAAGAGTTTTATCTACAAATTAAGATGTATTCTGTATAAATAACAACAAAAAAACAACCACTTATTTTGATTTCTCTTCATTTGTCTGTGCAACAACACTGTCTTAATAACTGATAAGTAAACTGTTTTATCTATTTTCATCGAAACATTCACACTGTTTATAGACTACAAAGAGAATAATTGCTCTCAGATCATTTAAAATTGAGTTTATGTAAATCTGTATGAAATCTAATAAGGATAATGTTAGTGGTGAATAATTTTTCTTGTTTATCTTTCGTTACATTCTTTCTAAAGTTGCCTTAACTCTTGATAGTGAACAGCATCGAAAATTAGTGATTGACCGACTAGCTTCTGTTGCTCCAGCATTGACTGATACATTATCTAACCAGATAGACGCTGAACGCTCAACTACAGAAACAAATGGTGTAAGCAGCTCAGATATTTGGGGATTATTTTTGCGTGTTGTGGATGTGTTACGTGCTCGTTTGCCAAAATCATTGCCCCAATTGGAAACAGCTACTGCATGGGCTTCTTTATTACCTCATGTTCAAGGCAATGATCTACGTCGGTTAGCTGCAAGTCATCTTCTAATTAGTTCTTCACTTATTGCACGTCATGGCACGCCAGCATTTTTGGAACTACGAAAAATTCAAAAGCAGGTCAGTTATAATATATATGTAATCGTCTAAAACGTATGTTTTTGCAGTATTTCCCTGTTTAGAACATATTCATTAGCGATGGTAGGAAGTATTCCCAGTGAGGATAATCTTCATCAAACATAAGGAATGTACAATTTAGGAAATCAATAATCAAACTATCTGAAATAATGTAAATTAATACTTCGGAAAATCATAACCAGCAATCTAAACGTTACTGACCTGTTGCTCTACCGTTTGATCTACCAGACTAAATCGCTAATCATTTCCAAGCTGTTGTTATTAGCAACAGCCATTAAGTACAACATTTTATAGCTAAAATTACATCTAAATGTCATTAGAGACCAGCTGATAATCTTTATGCTCTCGTTTCCAACGCTTCTACAATTCAGGCTTTTCGAAATTCAGTCATCATCTTTAAGGGGGTAATGTGTTATAATTTCAATGCCGTACGGAAAAGTAGTTATTTTTTAAGCCTTGTCAGCTATTATTTATTTGTTTAAACACATAAAAATTGGAACAAGTGGGAACCAAAATATATGTGCGCCCCACAATAAAAATGAGGTTGCAAAGAGATGGAGAAAGGAAGGTGAATATAATAAAAAAGAACAAAAATGAATAGAAACTACTGTATGGTGATGAAGTAATAATAATGATATTAATGGTTGAAGCAGTTCAGTCAGGAAAGATACAACCAAAAAGGATTCTTTCAGTTAGAAAGATTACTTTCACTTCCATAAAGAAAGTAGAAAAAGTTACACTAGGATCGCCGCTGGCTTGTATCCTGAGCCGTTTCTGTTAGTGTCTCTGGCCATTGTATTGCACCATCTATAGGACCCCAAACACAGAAAGTCGTCTAATATTCTCAGCTCGGAGAGGCCAAGTTTCACAAGCATAAAACAAAATTGCTCTCACTGACCTTTTACATCCGAACTAGCATCACTAATGCGCCAAAGATGGCCCAGATTGGCATAAGCCTTTTTGGCTTTCACTATACGCCCGCACCAGCACTTAGTCATTTATTCAGATACACGAACTTCTCAACTGTCTTTGTCTGCTTGCTATCCAGGGCGCCTTCAGGATCAGGATCTTAACAGTCTTGTAGAAGTACTTTTCACTTGGAAGGTGCGAAGAACATACCATACCTACTGGTAATGATTGACAACTGACTATGTACGGATTGGTTTGGGGATCACCACACAGTAAAACAATATCATCCTCATACTCAGGGTCGAAAATTGTGTCTCCATGCAACAGATCCACACCACCATTACCTACATCCATCAGAGCTGTTTCCAGAATGTCATCAGTGGCGAAGTTGACGAGGGATGGTAAGATTGAGCAACCCTGTATAACCCCATTGCTTGAACGAAACGATAAAGACAGGTGTTTGTGTATAGAACTTTCAAGAATTTAATAAACTTCTCAGACAAACCCTTCTCCCATAGACTCCCAGAGAACAGTCCTATCCAACGAATCAAAGTAGAATATAAATTAAATGTATATGGTGAAAAGCTGTAATCATTCTGTTGATTTGAAAACTTTACATATTGAAAGGGATTTGAACTGTAGTTAACTGTAATAAATGACTCTTTTTTTCTAGCGAACTTTTATTGGTTATTATAATCAATGATAACACAGAATGAAGCAAACCACTATCAAAATATCAACATTTTAGCTGGTATCAGCAGATCTGGGATGCAGGTATATCCAGGTGTCGAGTCACGGTTAGGACTAAGATATGTCCTGGGCTTCATTGCTACCCATCATCCATCTCTGCTTAAAATAACTTGATACATGTATTTTTCAAACTGATAATCAACCAAACGTAGTTCATTCACTCACATGAATGTTTTATTCACAGTATTTTGCTGTGTAACTTATAACTTGTGGCCTGAGTGCCTTGCTAATGTATAACGTAACGATATCGCCAATTAGAGGGCAGTGAATTATCGGTCGCACCAGTGACGCATGAAACACGTACGAGCAGTCTAGAGTGCCTATTGGCCCTACTTCATGCCTAGCCCAGCCAGTTAAGTCCAGAACACCAATCTCAGCCTCTGCAATATGAATCATCTATTTCAAGCATACTGGGTTTACATACCAACCAGACAGACCACATCGTACCACAAAATAGGAAGCAACATTTGTACAAGATTTGGCTAAATGTGGCTGTGAACATGGGATGTAGTGATTAATAGACAGGGTATAATTCAAGAACGGTAAATCGTATAACAATAGTTCATAGGTCAAAATAAAGCTCATAATACGAAGGACATGAATATATATAGTTTAGTTATTCAACAATTATACGATAAAAATGTATATAAATGGATCACAAAAGTTACCATTCATTATGTTTATCGGGACATAACAGTAACAGAAGTATACTTATTTCCTTTTAACTATTCTACAAAGACTCCCAACATTTTAGGCTTACAGTATACTAGGTTTGAAGCTATTACGAGTTCACTTAGTACGCAAACGAAACAAAGACTTGTGACCGTAGACCAATAAGCTAACTATTTGATGCGTCCCAGCCCCACTAAATAGAGGAAGAAGTCCAAACTTGGAACGGGAAAGTATATTCCGTAAGCCAGAAGCACGAGTGAATAGTAACAGCGTAGCAAAAATAGCATACTAAAAATACACAACAGACCAATAGCGTTAAAGATTCTCTCAAGTGGGAATTACGACATGAAGGTGAAAAGAGCGCTTTTGACGCGAAAACAAGGAAATTTAAATTTCCAAAATAAAATTACAAAATTAAGGCATTTACAAATGAGTTCTGGGGATCTAACGTCCCCAAAACAGTACTATTGATATGTAATGAAGGCTATAATTTACGACTTTTCTATTACTAGGGATAAATAACTATTTAACGCACACATGTTGAAATAATTATGATTCAGTAACTTATTATGATTATAATTTTGGCGAACTTCATTTGTTTGCATGTTTGTATTTATTTATTTTATCGTCAAACTTTAAATGAATCCTGAAACCAGTGATATTTTTTCACGAGATTTACATAAATTTAATTCTTTTCCAGTGGAGTGAATATAACCAGTATTGGAATGTGATGAATCTGGCAATCACTCTTTCACGTGATTTTAAACATTGTAGATTTTTGGATCGTTTAGTTACTAAAGTAGGTTTTTTGTAAATGAATCTAGTGTTCAACTGACTTGTTACGCATTAACCATACTGGACCCGCACAATAAATGATATCTTGATTGCTTATCATTTTATCGAAATGCAATTAACGGAATAATTTATTATATATATTTTATTATAAATACAAACAAATCTTAGTGTTATGTCTCAATATTAATTATATGAAATTGTAGACTGGAAAGTTCATTATCAAAATTTACTGACGGTTTCACAGTTTCGTTATATTTTAGATCAGCGTTGGTTTGTATCTCTAAGGCTCACAAGCGTATTCACATTAAAGTAGGCTTATCTCACAGGACTTACTACTAAATGTCGACAAGATTTCAACGTTATTTTCTTTGCATTTTAATGTTCTTTTATCTATTTTATGACTGTATCCCAACACTTTGGTTCGTATAATTTGATCAAAAGTAAGTACTAGATGATTACACCATAAACTGAATAATAAACATGTGTGAGACAAGGTACACTACTACCACTAATATTACTCTCGTTATCGTTTTGATTTAGGTAAGCGATTACCGTTGAGCCTATCATAAATGGCGTACCAATTCTCTTGAGTGCGGTTTGAATTTTTTCCGTCATACATATTTATTGTTCTATGCTTTTCAGGATAGTTTGAATTTGGCTATCGGTACTATTGCTAGTAGTGACACTTTGGTTCGAGGTTCATATCGTTATGCTATTGGCAAGTCTTCTTATTCTACTTGTTTCCATTACATGGTCGACTTTCATTGTTGCTGTGATTGTTATTTTTTGCTTTGTTTGTTGATTTTCTGGCGTTATTTCTTTACTGATTATCTTCACTAAAGAATCGATGGTCATTAGTCTTCTCTTGATTCAACAACAGAGAGTTTTATAAGTATAGGGTTGTGGAGATTGTTGTGCTTTGATTGAGATCATCACACGAGACCGAAAGTTCTGGGTTCGAATCCCACGTGTAGTATCGTGTATGAGTACTTCTCTGGAGTCCCATACTAGGACGAAGCGGCCGTTCAGTGCTTCCAGATTTTTAGTGGTAGTCTAACATTGATCGGCTCGTGATCTTAATTAGAACGAATAGGCTGTTTAAGTAAACTATCTTTGGCTCGTTTTTTGTAGTCGAAAATCAGAAAAATGAATGGGTGTAAGTTATTTGTGTGAAGCATTATAATGCGATATATCGTACCATTATTCATGACTTATTGATTTAGTATGTTATTGTAGATGCATTTAGATACAAAATTGAGAAAGGTTACCCAGCGCTTCGTCGTTTTGGACTTAATTCTGTGACTTTAATAATTCAGTCATAATTAACGTAGAACCTGACACAAATGTGGCTAATTCTTATCCAATCAGCACTAGTCGATAGTTGGAGAATACTCTAGAATCTTCTCATGTAAAAACTATAAATACACTGACGTTTTCCCTATTGTGCTTCTTACTGGCTTCTGACTTCCATCTAACCTTGTTATTTGGAATATAATCTCCTTCCTGTTCAACCGTGTTTTGATTTGGGGTCTTGTCGAGTGAATCGGTGTCCGAGAATATTAAGCAATAGGAATAGCTGGGTCATAACCGTAAGAAAGAGATTATAACAATATCAAAGTAATCCGTTTTCATTTTTAAAAAATAGTATTCAAATCAGTAATTGTGTAAAGCTTTATTCGCTGTTTACAAACCACACATAACTTATTTGCTAATCACGCTGCTTAGATGCAATGGAATCCAAATTCATGAACTATTTAGTTTTAGTGTATTTTCACACGGATAAATTTTGTATATTCACATAAGGATAACAAACTTTAGGGTACATGTTGTATATAGTGCGTGTATGATTGTCAATGCTAATTCCTGTGTATTCATTTTTATCATGTGGCCCAGTGAATGGATTTTGAGTCTCTGTGTTACAGAATTACGCAGGTAGTTTTCGCTTCATAACTGATCTTCTCTTTTGATGATACATTACTTACTGTTAATCATACGTTAACTTTGTATTGAATGATATGTGTTATGACCATCGAATCTCATTTCATACTGTGCTATTTTCCTAATTTTTAACTGAAAGCCCGACTAATCAACATGAGAGAAAAATTTCCGGACGATGCACTTCTTACTTTATTACTCGCTGTTGGCTTTCTAAGTATGTCCATGCAAAAACACATTGGTTCACGTCATCTTGCTGTTTTACAGGTAAGTTTCTTTTCTACTCTTAAAAACATAATACATTACGTGATCGGTTACTGTGTTAATGTAATCTAAAGAAAAATTGAGGATTACATCAGTACTCTTTTCGAAAATTATTTCACTTACATATCCAGTTACAATGGAATAACGCTACTAGTGAATAAAATAGTTTTGTTATCTGGATGTAACTTTTTTAGAGAGCAGTTTGCGTAAACTGCTTCTGATAGCCATAATCAGTTGTGATCATGAAGCTCTTCCCTATAGAGGAAATTAAGATTTATATGAAGTGATATTTTACGTCATGAGTCAGTGACATAAAAAAAACTTTCTCTTGCTCACTCAGACGTCCTATGGAGTTACAACGGTATTTGACTTCTCTTTTTGAATGTCTTTAAACTTATCATCTTGTAGTAACGACCCCTAATATACATAGTTTGATATTTTTCTAAATATTCCATTTTTGTCATATCATTATACCTTATTTATTTATTTAAGGCTGTTGGTTTTCTTGGGGAATATAAACGTTTACGTGGTGATTGTCAGGAGGTTTACTACAATATAGCACGTGCTTGTCATCAACTTTGTAAGTTTACTGGCATTCTATTTTCAAAAATCCTGACTTGAATACATATCTTCATCAAACGATAGTATCATTCCCCGTGGTGATGTCCTTCGTTTTCTCAGTCAACTGACTGATGGTAATCTGATGGATTATAGAATGCTCTTTTGTAGCTTTTTTTATTAGGAGGAATTGAGGCTTTTGCTCATTAGTTGTAATGTCCTTTACTTGGACACATAAACGTTTTAAGAGTAAATTAGTGATCTTTTTTCATTCGGCTACATGAATACCATTTTCACCCTTTATCAGTTGTCTCATTATTTTTGTGATAGTTTCACCATAAGTAACCAAAAAATTAAGCATTTTATTGATGTATGCTTTCACCATAAAATCATATTTTAAGTTATATCTCCTATTGTTTATTTTTATTTCACATGGTTGTTGGTATTCTTGCAGCCATTTATAATTTCTTAATTCAAAATTCCTTAATCCCCTATACAGCTGTAGAGTGTAGTTCTATTGTTAGGTCACATACAAATTACAATCTTTGATTTTATGACTGGGTACTATATGACTAGGACAACGGGTTCATAGTCCTAACAATTTTATTCACCCAATAGTAAAAATAGCGAAATGTAATTAAAGTTTAAAGTGACTCATACTTTTCCGACTGAAATTATCATGGATATTAATACAAGTTTTTAATCTGTACACTTTTCATAGTTTTTTGGGCGTCTACTTCTGTTTCTAACAAAGGTTTAAGCAGGAGCGTCTCCATCATCATTATCTGTTTTCTAACGAAACATTTTAAAATGAGGTTGTTCGAAGGTACATTTTACTAACGCACGCTTAATATAGTTTGTGTATGTTTCGGCTTGAGTTATTTTAATCTCTGTTTTGTTTAGTTAAAAACTAAATGCAAAACAGACATTTGTATCTACTAAACAAAGTTCTTCCAAACAGTTATTTGTGGATATCAATGAGTCAAATTGAAGCAGGTTATAGTGTTTATCTTATATGGTTTGTTAAATAGAAATTTATTTTTATATCTCTTCTTTGTCTGTCATTGACAAGCATAATAATATGTTAATCAGACCACATCGTTTGTAAACATTTGCAGGGAAAATTCACGAGAGAACAGCTTTCAGATTCATTATTTCTTGTTAAACTTAAGATTTATTAACGGATGAACATGAGCTTAGTTTGTAAAAACAATATTAGTTTTCCTACCTCGTCTTTCTGTGGTATATTTTATGGTTGACATTTTCGTAATTGAGCATGTAGTTAACTATCATCGGTACTGTACTAAATAGGCACTTTTTTTAATTCAGCAATCACTCATATGGCTATTCACTATTATGAAAAAGTTCTTGATATGGAGCCTATTGGAAACAATCCTGAAGAGAAGTCTGTGAGTCCTGCTTTCTTTTCTCTGAATATACACTATTGTTATTATTGCGGAGGTTGATTAACTTAACCTATATTCGTATATTGTTTTAGTTTAAAAACTTGTCATACGTATCTTCTGACTGCATTTATTATTCTTTCACTTTTGGTTTATTTTATTAGCTTACTAATCTGTATAAAGAAGCTGCTTTCAATTTAGCTCTTTTGTATCGAACTAATGGGAATCCATCAATGGCTCGTCATATACTCCAAAAATATGTTGTCATCTAATAATGTGTTTATATTTTTTATGATTTATTTACTTTTTACACACAATAGTATATATAAAAGTCTAACTCAAGCTTTTAATTTCCCTTAAGATCTGTTTTAAATCAAATTATTATTTCTTACTGGTATAACCAATTAGCTAACTATGTCAGCATTATAGACCAGCTCAAAACCAGGTTGTGCAGTTGTAAAAATTAATCTCTACCGACCTAGTCTGAGATACTTGTGAAGTACACATTGTAGATAAATATTGTTTGAACTAAGAGTGAATGTATTCAGAATTCAAACGAAATCTTACTAAAGGTCCCTTGTCTTATTTGTCAAAACTTACACATCCATCATATCGTACGAAATAAAAGTGACAGATTCAGTGGAAAACAGAGACACCTTCCTTTGTGCTACTTTTTAAAAGTGATCCTACTTAGAAGCATATCAAGTCCCAGTTTTTTCAGTGATTAATTTTCGCTCCACCTAAACTCCAAGAAACCTGGTTGCTTATCTTAGAGCAAGTTAAATAGTCACGTTCACACTTCTGGAACATTGTTTATTTATTCGAGAATCCATAGTCTCGAGTTTTCAGTACTTCTAAATACTTTCTTATTTAAAACTAATGATTTCATTTCATTGTGTAGAAGTTTCATTTTTTTGTAGATAGGAACCAGATTGACTAGTTTCATACCCTTACAAATTGCTAAACAAGAATGTGAAGCATTTCAACAGAAGAAAAAACTTAGTAAACACGTAGAATACCAACCAATTTTCTGTCCGAGAACTACCAATTTCGTGAAACATTGTATAAAACAGTCGTGCCGTATAGGCGGGAAGACGTTATCTTGTGACGCAAAATTGTAATTACAAGCGCTAGTGTTTCCGAATAGTCGGTTTAAAATTTTAGGATAAATTATTTGATTGACGTCACTGGGAAACAGATTAATACTGACTTGAAATATACTAACTGGTGATGCAGAGTTCGTGAGAGGTACTCCTGGTATGCTGAGAGAGTCCTCGGTACACAGAATACTATTTGGTACGCAAAATAAGCTGTTGAGACCATATAAATGTCCGGATTTCACGTAGTAGTTTATTGACTAGTATTGACGGACGAATATTGATCGGAACTGGATTAACAATTACTGTCATTAGCAAATAAGTCATTAGAATCTATAAATACAGTGATGAATAGTCTTCATACTTATGATTCAGATGTCCTCGGTATTAACTTGAGTGCAGTTCCAATCAGTCATGTTGAAAACATGAATATCATATATGCAAATCTTAAATATGCCTGATGAGAAAAAATATGTTAACTCCATTGAAAAGTGTGAAAAACAAACAATGGTGTTTGCCAATGATCCCAATTTCTCACTCAACGGTAATCGCTTTAAGTTTGTCACTCTTTAGGACTCTACATCTCGCTCACATAAACCTAAAATATCAATTTTTATGTTGCCGCTATCACTTCCGAGTGGTCATATCAGTGGTCTACATATTTGACTTGAAAACGTTTCCCAGTCAGTCATGTTCAGTTTGGGACATGGAAAATGTGTGTATCTGTTCAAGTTGCAATTCCACATCAATACACATAGTAGCTTGATTACTGGGTTTAGAAGGAATTACGGATAGGACATATCTGCGAAGATGTTCATTGCGATGAACAGTCAAGGTTACTGATCTAAAGGTAGAAAGGTAAAGAGTAAACGTATTTTCACAGCTGCGAAGGGTTCTCAATCGTGTCACACTAATCGTTTACTACAATAAGCGCACGTAACTAAATCAGCTGGTTTGCACTTACAAGTGACTTCGTTTGACTACTTCTGATTGGCTCGTTATATCACTGTGCATACATTGCAACTACCAGCCAGCATAAATCGAACCCCTTTCAATATATCGGCAACTTTGTCTGAACTCATTCATCCTGACTTTCAAGTGTTTTGGGATCTATCGATCATGAAGCATCTGTACGTCAAAGCTTTTGATGCGGGACGTGAAAATTTCTAGGGTGATATTTTTGGATGCGACACTGTAGATCGTTCTTTCCGTTGTCAGTAAATACCGCCTTGTGCGAACACCTTAATTTCGTCAGTGTTCAGTAAATCCGGCAAAACCAATATGGTTCGATCATAAGTTTATGCACATTTATCGGTCACTGTTCGTCTAGGCAAACGTGGTTTACGTTGAACTGCTATTTTGAACGAGAAATGGGGTTGGTTTTAATTCTTAACAACAAGTAGTGGAATGTGCAAGCACTTGTGTGACCACGTTAATGGCTGGTATTTTCGCATTACTGTGGGTCCCAAATTCATCTCGGGAATGACAGACGCTTCCTCTCGTCGACTCAAGGTTGGTTGAAACATCAGAGGGGTTTCGTTTTCAATGGTGAACCACTTTTTCGTCAGTCGCGCATCGGTAAATATCTCCAACCAATCACTCGTCTGACCTTGTGGACTCAACCCCCACCCCGAAAAGCCTTTGAATTTGCTGTAATATAATACAACATTTACACCTAGAATTTCACAACCCTCGTTACATTCTATTCTTCAGCTTATAATCATAGCCGTTACAGTAGTGGGAGTAAAACTATTCTTTTGTTCATTATGCTATATGCTAGGAGTGTGAAATTTAATGACAATATTCAGATTCAGTACTTTTAGAAGAACGGAAACGTTACGGGTGACATATGCTATCAGCCAGTCAGCTACAACGTAGGCCCAGGGACATATATGCATCGGTCCATATCGCATTAGCACAGCAAGATGTACAACAGATTCATAGGAATGGCTAAGTCATTGGTTGTAATATATAAAAAAAGACTGCTTATAAGAATATATTACAGGAAGATAGAATTAGTTCGTAAAGAGAAAGATATGAAGTGATTTTAATCTCTTAGATTAAAGGAAGACAGAGGGTGTAAACAACACCTACGCAATGGTGATCGATTCTGAGTCATGTCACTGAGAGTCTTCAACCATTGGTTACGATAGTCACGTGCACCTCAACTAAGTAGTCTGCATCTACCAACATGGTTCAGACTAGAAGTTAGTGACTTCAAGCACTGATGACACGTTTTGGTTTGGCCGCCCCTAACTTTCTTCCAACCATCCCCTACACCGGTTAGCATTGCACGTCGTGGTAATCGGTGTTCAGGCATACGCAACACGTGGCCCAATCATCTCAGTAGGTGAAAATCCACAACCTCATCAAATGATTTACCATCATTCCCTAATAACTTGCGTCTAACCTCACTACCACTTACTCGGTGTTCCCGGCAGATGCGAGCAATATTTCTATAACGCATCTGTAGTCAAATATTAGTAGCTTACGAGTATCCTCTACTATTAATAGCCACGTTTCGCAGTCGTAAAGTAGAACAGAACGAACTCCTGTGCAGTATACTCTTCCCTTGATTGGTAAACAGATATATCACCTTCGCTATAGGTGATGTAAGTTGACAAAAGTCAAACGAGCTTTCTGAATCCGTGCAGAGATTTCGTCAGACACCAACTCATTAAGGCTGACCGTACTTCCAAGATAAGCGAAGTTGTCGACGCGTTCAACAAAATTAGAGAAAATGGAAAGATAGAGATTTAGAACAGATAAAACAGTAAAAATCTCCTCTTAGGGTGTTGATAATTGAGGCTTGACATTCTTATGAAAAACATATGGTTACTGAAGTGGCAGATTCAGAGAATTGATGGGTTTGCACCACTTTTAGTATGAGAAATTCTGCCGATGTTGGCGAGACATGATGTTACAAACCTGAAACTCTACCAACATCGTTCAGTTAAGTGTTTTCCACAGACTATGGCGGGACTTATTTTCATGGGCCACGTAGAAGAGCATATGACGCACACCAGCACTCTCCATCCCACCTTTTCCTGGGAAATTCCCGACTCAGTGTGTTATTTGGCCTTCATCTTTTCCGCTCCTCTTCAGCATTTCAAGTTAGTATTTGCTTCGTGATGCAGCCTGATGGTTTCTCCAATGTGTATCCTATTCACATCCACACCCTTTTCTTAATTTCCTCCTAGATTGAAAGTTCGTCTGTCCCTCCCACACTAGGCTGTTGCTGACGGTAACCGGCCAATGGACACTCAATATGTCACATACACAATTGTCTACGAATACCTGTGCCTTTTTGATGATGGTTGTGATAGTTCCGTAAGTCTCAGCTCCGTAGAGCAGGACTATGTTGACGTTCGTATTCAAGATTCTTACTTCGATATTGGTTGACAGTTGTTTTGAGTTCTGTACGTCCTCCAACCACAGGAATGTTATCCTTGCTAATCCTCGCCTTTAAGTCTGCAACAGATCCTACCTGTTCATGAATTTTGTTTATCAAGTGCATGAAAGTTTCCACCTCTTCCAGAGCTTCTCCATCAAGTGTGACTGGGTTGATGCTTGTTGTGTACTGCCACGCTGACTGTCTTTACCTGTGTTTGTTGGTGTGTATAGGATAGAAAAACTAGGTCATGTACGAAGTCCAGATCATCTGGTTGCATCCAAGCTGTCTATTTTATCCCGTGCCTCCCCTCAGATGTGGAGGTCTTCATAATGCAGTCAACCACAAGAAGAAAGAGAAAGGGGCAGAGTAAGCAGCCTTGTCTGACTGCAGTCCTCACTTAGAATGCATCTGTCAGTTGTCCTCCATGCACGACTTTGTAGTGTAGCCCGTCGTACGAATTCCCGATGGTGTTGACGATTTTTTCAGGTACTCCATAGTGTCGAAGAATTTTCCATAATGTTGTCCTATCCACACTGTCGAATGCTTTCTCATAATCAAGGAAGTTGGTGTATAGTGACGAGTTCCATTCAGTTGATTATTCAACAGTGGTCCATGATGTCGTGATTTGGTCTGTGCACAACCGATCCTTATGGAATACGGTCCGTTGGTCTCTGGAAGTTGGGCGTCTACTGAATCCTTCATCTAGTTCAGCGACACTGTTGAAAATTATTCCTGGTACCGATAGAGGTGTGATGCTTCTGTAGTTTTCGCATTTACTCAG